AGAAAGTTCTTCTTCACAAAGCAAATAGTCAACCTGTGGAACTCCTTGCTGCAGGAGGCTGTGAAGGCTAGAACTAGAACAGAGTTTAAAGAGAAGTGAGATAAAGTGATGGAGGTTGGGTCCATGGAGTGGTATTAGCCAGGGGGTAGGAGTGGTGTCCCTGCCCAAGGTTTGTGGAAGGCTGGAGAGGGATGGCACGAGACAAATGGCTTGGTGACTGTCTTCGGTCCATCCCCTCTGGAGTTCCTAGGGTTGGCCGCTGTCGGCAGACAGGCTACTGGGCTAGATGGACCTTTGGTCTGACCCAGTACGGCCATTCTTATGTTCTTATGACTGCAGGATGGAGCCCTCTACTGTAACTTGCGCAATAACACACGTATCTACGTAATTCATAGATTAATAAATTACAAGGCAAGAAGGAACCTGGACTCCTTTATAACAGGCCACAGAACAATGATTCTTAACCTATTTCCCATTGTGGGCAGCAGACGCAGATCCCTGTGTGTTATTTGGGTCACGTCCATACACTACATGTACTACCTGTATGGCCCTGTATGGGCTGCAGTTGTACTGACTGGGCTGAAAGTGGCCTGCGGGCTACAGGCTGAGAACCACAGAACTTCCCCCAAATAATTCCTAGAGCACATCTTTCAGAAAAGCATTCTGTCTTACTTTGGAACTTGGCTGTGATGGAGAATCCACCATGGCTAGGAAGGAGCATGGCGGAAAGGGATCTAGGGGTCATAGTGGACCACAAGTTGAATATGAGTCAACAGTGTGATGCTGTTGCAAAAAAAGCAAATATGATTCTAGGTTGTATCAACAGGTGTGTTGTAAGCAAAACTCGTGAAGTCATTCTGCCGCTCTACTCTGCACTAGTTAGGCCTCAGCTGGAGTACTGTGTCCAGTTCTGGGCGCCACATTTCAAGAAAGATGTGGAGAAATTGGAAAGGGTACAGAGAAGAGCGACAAGAATGATTAAAGGTTTAGAGAACATGACCTATGAAGCCAGGCTTCATGAACTGGGCTTGTTTAGTTTGGAAAAAAGAAGATTAAGGGGGGACATGATAGCGGTTTTCAAATATCTAAAAAGGTGTCACAAGGAGGAAGGAGAAAATTTGTTCCTCTTGGTTTCTGAGGACAGGACAAGGAGTAATGGGCTTAAAGTGCAGCAGGGGAGGTTTAGATTGGACATTAGGAAAAAATTCCTAACTGTCAGGGTGGTCAAATATTGGAATAAATTGCCAAGGGAGGTGGTGGAATCTCCCTCTCTGGAGATATTTAAGAACAGGTTAAATAGACATCTGTCAGGGATGGTGTAGACGGAGCTTGGTCCTGCCTTGAGGGCGGGGGTCTGGACTCGATGACCTCTCAAGGTCCCTTCCAATCCTATGATTCTATGAACTGTTCCAATAGTTCATTAGCCTCATCTGACGTTCAGTCTGAATTTGTCTAGCTTCAACTTCCAGCCCTTGGACCATGTTAGACCTTTCTCTGCTAGACTGAAGAACCCATTATTAAATATTTTCCCTTTACAGACTGCAATTAAGTCATCTCGTAACCTTCTCTTCGTTAAGCTAATGAGGCAGAGTTTCTTGAATCAGTATAGGGTAGGATTTGTAATCCTTTAATCAGTCACATAGTTCCTCTCTGAACCCTCTCTTGAATTGTGGACACCAGAAAAGGACACTGTATTTCAGCTGCAATCACACCTGGGCCAGCATCACACTGGGAGCTGATAGCAGATTATTTACCACAACCTCCAATTTTTTCCCTGCGCTAATATTTCCTAGGACACCATCCCCCATTGTGTAAGTATCTGCTGCAGTTCTACAGTCAGCTGTATTAAAATGCATGCTGTTGGCTTGCAACCTGTTTACCAAGACAGCCAGATTCCTCTTTATCTGTGACCTGTCCTCTGTCGTTTACCTCCCTCCAGTTTTTGCGCCACCTGCACACTTTATCAGCTGTAAACAACATTCAGGTACTAGGAGTCAATCCACACTCTCTGAAGAAAGCAGGTTCAAAAAACTGCATCCAGACACAACATTTTCATTACAACAATCCCTACTCCACAAGACATCATGATTAGCTGAGCATGAGGGCAATATGTGCTCAGCTGCCCTTCCCTCCACCTTGCTCTCTCCCTCAGCCCAGCTGCTACCAGGAACTTCCTACTAGCTATGCAAGGGGAGAGAGGAGTGCTGAAGTCAGGGAGTTCCCCTGCCCCATATCCCACCTCTGCAGAACAGGAGTCGGGGGGAGGGAGACACACAGCGGAACAGCGCCAGTCTGAAGTATGATGAATGACTGAGATGAGTGCCTGTCTTAAGAGTCAGGGCACTGTTTCTAAGATTTCTCCAGCAGCCAAATCTCTCTCACACACACTCTCCTGCCCCCATACACCTCATCTCTGCAGAGCAGAGGAAGGGAGAGACAGGGAAAACCATCCTGCTCCATTGTCTTAAAGAGACAGCACATGACAGCTCTCAGAAACTTGCCCAATAGCAACCAGCATACAAAATCCGTGTCACACAAACACACTGTCACAAACGCTCTTACACACAGTCTCTCTCGCACACTCTCACACTCTCTTGCCCCTTCTGCTCAAGGCCTTGCCCATTCTAGAGGCTTGGAGCTGGCCCCTGTCAACTCACCAAAATTCACGGAGTGACCCCCCCTAAGAAAATTGTTGCTCACAACTACCCTAAATGAATCTCCCTTAACATACAATATAAGGTGAAATTTCTAGTCTAAAATCTACCAAAAGTAAACACTCTAGTATAGAAGTCAGGTATGTGGAGAATGATGGACAAGCAATTGCTAATATGCGTTTTTATTCATTTTCTATTAACGACTTTCTCCAGTACTCTGAACTATGGAAAGTCCAAATATGTACGAGCCATCTGGTTAAGTCTGCAGGGCCCACTAAACCTAGGAATATTCCTAGGTAGAGGTCTTAAAGAAATAAAATCCTCACTGAGCTACATAACTGCATAATTTTATTGGCGTTACTCCCATCCTTCCTCCTCCTCCCATAAATTGCTGCTTAAGCCTACCTGTTATATTACCTCTCAAGTGTAGGGCCATATTGTGCTTCTCTACATCATACTGAAAAGTAACTTATGCCTCAAAGAGTCCCACTGAAACCAATGGAACTGAAGAGCATCTTACTACACAGGGAGTTACAGATGGTCCTTAGACTGTTAATTCTTCAGGGCAGGAACTATCTTCTCTTCTATATTTGTACCTAGCACAGTGGGGCCTTGATTTCTCTTGGTACCTCCAGAAGCTACAACCATATACACCAAAGAAAAGAAAAATAATGTAATACCATTTAATCCAGCTGTTAATCTAGGAGCATGCACAAATCAGTCAGAACAAAATACGGGCTGATGGATTCATCCTAAAAACATCAGTCCATAAACAGCATCATAAAAAGCAAAACAGCTGTGGAGCACTCGGATTACCTTGTCGGCGCCACATTCTGTGCCATCCAGAGGGGGATCCAGCTTAGTTTTACAAGACGTGTCTCCTTCCACCAAGCACCACAGCCCAGCACACATCAAATGCTGCAATCACAAGGTCAAGAGGGACAGTTATTGCTTCTGGAGTCAGCCGTCACCAGGGGCTATACTGTAAAGCTCATTTGGGCTCTCTAATGGGAGTCCAGGGGCATCGGCTTGGTTTTCAATCAATTATTTCTTAAAGGAGAAACTGATGCAAAACAACAGAGCTGGAAACATGGAAGAGCTCAATGCATGCAGCTGTGTGAAAAGAGAGCACTATTTAAAGACATTTCCTTTCACAGGAATAAAGCAGGTACAATTAATGAGGCATGGACGCTATGCCAGTCAAGCTACATGCATGGATTAGTACAATGGTTTTCAAACGACGGGTCGCGACCCAGTACTGGGTGATGGAATGTCAGGCCCTGGGTCAGGCTGCAAGGGGATCAGGAGATCAGTGGGGCTGCTAAGGCAGCTTCCTGCCTCTCCTGGCACCGCAGAATGTGCAGCAGGCCTGGCTCCTAGGTGGGCGGGTGGAGAGTAAGAGCGTGCACAGGGCTGCGTACATCACCCTTGTCCTGAGCACTAGCTCCACACTTCCACTGGCTGGGAACCTGCTGTTGGCTGCTTCCAGGGTTCGGCATGTCCTGCTATGCCAGGAAGATGCCTTAGCACGTGCCGCCCGCCCCGCCCCCCCGCCCCCCCCC